CACACACACACCGCCCAGGCTGCTGTCCATCTGCCTGGCAGGCTTCGCCTCCGCGGCCTGCCTGGCCGCGTCCCTGGGTGTCACGGGGCTGCGTGACGTGTTTGTGACCAGCCTCTGCAACTTCACGGGGCTGCACTCCCCCGGCTCCATGAAGCCCAAGAACGCCCTCGCCTACGAGGCCCTGCTGCGGGTGGCCGTCACTGTGGGGGACGCCCTAGAGGACAGGTGCGCGCACTGAGGGCACGGCAGGGTGGGACTGCGGGTGCTGAGGGGCACTGGGGTGTGCTGCAGGCGTTGGGGACGGTGGGGTTGGCAGGCGAGGGTTGTGCTATGCCGGTGCTTTTGGGGCGGTGCTGCTGGAAGCGCTCGCTTCATGATCGGGAAGCAGGTTGGCACTGGTCAAACGACCGCAGTCATCCAAACCCCTGCCATGTCACTCTGTTGCTCTCCCCTTAAAGGTGGCTGGACATCCTGCGCTGCATGAGCCGCTGGGAGCTGCTGCAGCAGATGGCCAGCAGCACGCCCACAGACGCGGCGCTCTTCGCGGCGCCGGGCGGTGCGGAGAAGGGGCCGGTCGGCATCGGGGGCCGCGCGGCGGCGGCTCTCAAGGACCAGCTGAGGAAGCTGGGCAACCCGGGGGGCGGCGGCGGGGCGGCGGCGGCGGCTGCTTCGCAGCCATCCTATACCGGTGCGGGGCCGTGGGAGAGGGGTGCTTTGTGATGTGCTGAGGCCTCACTGCCTGCCTCTGTTTTACTCGTGTCTTTTGAGGAGTAGCCACTTGTCCAAGGCCAGCTAAGCCGCGCCCGTCCAAACTTGCCCGCTGTGTTCATGTGATGACATACACCGCCCATTATCCCCCCCCAGAGGGTGTCAAGTCTATGGACACGCTGGCCATGAGTGAGATGAGCGTGAAGAAGGCGGCGGGCGGCGGCCGCGACGACGACGGGCACGTGCCCCTGGAGGTGCGGGCTGGACGGGGGCTTTACAGGGAGCAATGGATGGCAGTGGGGAGGGGGCTGCTTCTGGGAAGGCATGACGGGCTGCAAAAACACAAGGAAGAAAGAGTACGACTCAAGTCATTAAGGCGCGTGCCGTCTGCCTCCAGCAAGCCCGTCAGCTGGAAGCGTACAGCTACTGAGGCTTGCAAGTTCGCACCGCCCTGCTCCGCCTCGACCATCCACTTGCATGTCTGTGCGCTCGCACCCCCACCCACCCACCGCACCCCACCCCCCCCTCAGATCATCCACTCTGTTGACGTCAGCGAGATCCAGCAGGTCTACCTGGCGTCATCCCGCCTGGACTCTGACGCGGTCGTGGCGTTCGTGCGTGCCCTCGCCGCCATCAGCCTGGTGGGGACCCTTTGGAGACCGCCTGGGCTTTGGCAAGGGCTTGGAAGCGGCGTCTGGCAATTCCACTTTTGCTTGGTTTCCCGGCGGTGCCCATTTTCAATCCTGCATTCAACATCCCCTCTTCTATATCGCCAATTTGCCCACCCCTGAGCGCCTCTGACCTCCATTCCTGCCCTTGTGCCCGCACCACTCCCACAGGACGAGCTGCGTGACACGCGCGCCCCGCGTGTGTTCAGCCTCACCAAGATTGTCGAGATCGCCCACTTCAATATGGGGCGCATCAGGTGACGCGGCTTTGGAGCAGGGCGGGAGGAACGCGTAACCATAGCGATGCTGAGGGGCCGTCGCCACTGCGGGCAGTTGCGGTAGCAGCTCATCCTGCAATCCAGTACAATCTGTGTTTGCGCCTGCCAGTGCTCACCACTGGCTTTCCACCTGCGCTCGGCATTTTCAGTCAACCCAATGTCACACCTCAAAAGACTCACGTCCTGCACCACAACCCATCTCCCCCCCTCCACTCACAGGCTGGTGTGGAGCCGCATCTGGGCGGTGCTGTCAGAGTACTTCATCGCAGTGGGCTGCCACGCCAACCTCGCAATCGCAATGTGAGTGGTCATTTGCCGCGCCACCTGCAGCCCTCACGGGTGTTTCTGTTTAAACCCCATCTCCCCGCGTGGCCTGCCCTTGCGCTGTTGGCTGCCACGGGCGCTGCTCCACCACCCACTCTGCGTTTCGCCGCCGCCCTTCCGACAGGTATGCGGTCGACAGCCTGCGCCAGCTGGCCATGAAGTTCCTGGAGCGTGATGAGCTGGCAAACTACACCTTCCAGGTGGGGGGGTCCTGGGGCCTGGAGGAACGGCTCCAGGAGAGGGGGGTCGCGGCCACGGGCCCCACAGCCTCTTTGCGGTCATGTAGGGTGCGGTTCTGGTGTGGGGACACCCGCGTGCCTGCGCATCAACAGGGAAGTCGAGGGCGAATGGGCGGCTCCTCCGGCAGTGCGGCTGCGTGCCTCACAAGATCGCATCCCCCAGGTGTTGTGGCTCTCGCCCTGCCGCCTCACCCCACAACGCCGCCCCACCACCCACCACCCACCCTCCAGAACGACTTCCTGCGGCCGTTTGTGGTGGTCATGAGGCAGAGCCAGGTGGGGCCTGCGCACGTGCCGCTGCCACCACGAGCGCATGGCTTGCTGCACAGCCCGCCATGCCTGCTGTCTGGCATATCCACCCTCACCAACCCCCACACCCTGCACCTGCGTTCATGCCACTCATCCCAAGCCCGGAAACGCAGCGTGGAGCCTCACAGCGTCCACGCCGCCTCCACACCGCTTCTCCCCCATCACCACCACCAACCCCTCCCCCCCCTCCCCCCCCCCCTGCAGTCCATTGAGATCCGGGAGCTGATCATCCGCTGCCTGAGCCAGATGGTGCTGGCGCGCGTTGACAACATCAAGAGCGGCTGGAAGAGCATGTTCATGGTCTTCACCACAGCGGCGGGGGACCCAGGTGGGAGGGCATGGGTCGGGGTTGGGT